TAGTACCTTAATAAAAACTTGTAATTTTGTTCTATTAATTAGTATTGGAGATTTGCATCATTACCGAAGGTTCCAGCATCCAGACGCCTTCTTGGGAGTGTCGAGGGCATCATTGTTCGGCCAATATCCATCGTATTTGCGCCCTCATTGACCACAATGACATCGTTATTTGCAAGAAAATCTCGGATCTAAAATATGCAACTTTTTTGTGCAATAATGTATAAGTTTGATTTTTTTTTAGCCAAAATAATTGCCAAAATACGTCCTTACAGGGGTGTATGCAGCATAGTAATTGAGTGGAGTTGAGTGATCTTCAGCCATTTGCTCGACTACGGCTCTAAATCGTTGCATCTGACCGTTGCATTTGTACTGTATCAGTAGAATATGTGCACCTGTTTTTGTTGGCATTCGTTAACAGGTCGGTCATCCACTTCCCCTTTTCGGAATAACGCCAGTCATCCATATTAGTGATCATCTGCAAGGGAAAATTTTGCAAAAATTTTTTTGTAGCTTTTTGTACTTAAGAGAAAAGGCGAAAGATTCTCGAAAATGTTTTATCAGTTTAAGTTATTTTTTCGAACCGAATTAAAATAACTTTCAGGTTCCACTACCATCAAAGGTTCTGAGATCAAGGGGAACTTGTCAACCTTAAGCAATAAAAAGCATCTTTTCCTTGAAAGTATTCATGCCACTTATGGGACTGCTCTCAAATAAGATCTTAGTAGCTCCTGAAAACGAACTTTCTGAAATACGGCCCTTAGAAAACTGATTAACGATGAGTTCTTATAAGAAAAACTAATAGCTTTTTTGCTTAGAAAGAAATCCCGGAAAACTGCTCATTTTTCATAGTCTAATGCACTGCTATATTGATTGGTTACACAAGCCAAAAATCTAGCTTTTTTTTTCAAAAAATCTGTGAATTATTGAATGGATGTGGAAGAAAATCTTATAAATTTTGCGCAAAGGCTAATCTGATCAGGAAAACTTAGCTCCTTCAAAACATTACAGGAAAACAAAAGCTATGGTTTAATCTTACCGAACTGAGCGTTTCTCCAATGTCTCCCAGGAGAGGAACGGTTGTCTGTATATTCTGATGGAACTCTTCAGGAGAAAGATCAATCTACGAACATAAGTAAAGCATGAATTGGAAGAAGTGGCTGAGACTTACCTGAACAACTTTAACTTCCTTACTGAGTCTCGGTGGTAAGCCGAAATGAAGCATCCAATTCAGTCTTGCACCTATTAGAATGATACAGTCGGCTTCGCGTAAAGCGAAGGATCGAGCAGGGGCTACTGATCTGGAAGTGTCTGACTTAGAATTTCATCTATAAGTGTATTTTCAACACATACTACATGCGCTTTTTACTGCACGTAATTATTCAGAGTGTTCTCCTTTGCAAATTTTTCCTTCAAAAAATGTAAGCACTATTTCATTATTAAGAACTCTCTTATTTCTAAACCTTATT